CCAAATATGATCGCCATGCAATTGCCTTCACTCAAGTAGTGTCCCCCAAGCTCAGTCAGACTAGAGAGGGTGTCTACTTCCATCAGAATACCCTGCAATTCTTATGTTCCACTTGCCACATTTTCCAGTGATAAACGCAGTTGTATTCCCTGTTTGAAGTCTGGTTGGGCTTCAGCTAGTAGGCGCTTTTGCATGGTTACATCATTAATCCCACATACCAGTCTCTCAGCATCTCACTAAGGGTTAAACCAAAGTCACATGCCTCTGCCAGTCATCTTAATCTCGTCAGAAAACCTGATACAGATTCTCCTGGTTCTCGAATTGCCAAGTAAAACCAATAGCATCTCAGAATTAGAGGTGGCTTGGAGTCATAATATTCCTTAACTAAATTTGTCAACTCTTGAAAGGTTCAGTATCTGGTGCCGTAGGGGAAGTTAGGCTCCTAATAACCGAAAAAGCTTCAAGTCCACAAGCTATCAGGAGCATTACTCATTGCTTTTCATCTACCCAAATGTCATTTGCTCAGAAAAAAATAATGTATTCTTTCCACATACTGATCCTACTCTCATCGCCACTGAAATAACTCCAGAGAGGTCAGTATCTTGTCACCAAGTCACCCCTTATTTACATGTGGAGAGTCCTTGACACTGATCCAGCTCCTTCAGAGCCATCTCTCAGAGTGAACAGAGCCTCTGAGATTCCAGTTTATACTTGTCAGCCGGAGCTCCCTGATTGGACCAGATTAACAGCCCCAAACGGGAAACTTGCACATTATGAGGTCCACTTGGCTGATGTCATTACAATCAGAACAATCTCTACTCACCGTCTCCCCAAAATTGCCCTCTGACATGTTTGAATGAGCTGAGATTTTTAACCCATCTTCCACTATTCTGTTTATGCTGCCTAACCAGCAATTATTCCATGTTTGTATTTCAGATTTCCTTGTTTCTTTTTAGTTTAAAGTAGTTGGGTAATTTAAGGGACATCACGGGTTGTCCACCTGCTACCCCTGAGTTATATGCAGTTCCCAGCCCTTGAAGCCCAGCCTATTTCAAGAGGGAATAGAATTCATGTCTGAGCGACATCTATCACCTCCTCAGGACTTGCAAAAGGCTTAGAGTCAGTGAAGTATTTCTGAAATGTATGATGAGACACAGAATTAACGTTTCAGGTTTGTGTCACAGACTTGTCTTCTTTCTTGCAGTTCTCTATTCCAGATTAATAATTCAGCAGAAAGCCTTTAATGAGTTTAAAGTAAAGGTTTATTTATTCTAACCCAATTAACCTGAATTAACACAGTGTCACACACTTGGCCTCACATACACACTTTACTAATTACAGTTAATTCAGTTTCTGATCTATACTTCTCAACTTCCATGTGGTAGGTCTGTGGTTCCTTGAACAGATTTGACAATTTGGAAGTTGTAGTGAGGATCATACAAAACAAAGAGTTCACAGCAGTCTGTGAAGTTTCTTGTACCGCTGGCTCTCAGGTGAGCTTTTAAACTGTAACTTTGGCTACTTGATGACTTGCAGCTCGTGATCAATTTGGACTTGCTGATGACTATTGGTTCTGATGCAAGTAGCTCTTAAACTGATTTTTAAACATCTTGTAAACACATTGTTGCCTCACCAAGTGACTTTTCATAAGTTCATGGTATTTTCCAAATAAGGTGTTGCGTTCATTTGATTCCATATCCTGTGTCGTGGGTTAACATGCCTGAGGCCCACCAGTCTATGCTGGATGGGGAAGGCCACCATAATAGTCACTGAGTTTTGTCCACTGTGAAACATAGAGACAAACAGTCTGGAAATTCCTACAGTTCTTTACATGCTGGCTCAGTTTTAAACAATGGGATGTATGAATTCCCCAGTTAAATGTGAGATATTTAACACCTACGTCCATATTTAATCAGATAATTACCAGATACTGGATGCAGTCTATAGACTGAATGCCAAAAATCACATTGTTTACGGCAGTCATCTTAATAGATTGTTTGTGTTGAATTTTTATGAACTTTTAGTCAAAACTTATAATGCCTTTGAGTATGACATCAGACCAATGTGATGAAAGGCAACTGACCTGAAATATTAACTCTTTTTCCTCTCTCCACAGATGCTTACAAACCAGCTGTGCCGTTATTTCAGATATCCAGCATGCACAGTATTTTGCTTTTGTGCTTTGGAAGTGTGACCACTGATGCACTGCAGAGAAACACCATAGCTAATTCTTGTACAGCGAGATCCCACAAACACCAATGAGAAAAAGGGCCAGATGTTTACATTTAATTCTTATTGTTGACATCCCTGGTAGAATGATTGAAGCTTAAGCTATTGAAAGGACTGTATGTAGTGATATTGCCTAGTGGGCTGATTCTATATCAAGGAACAAGTAATCCAAAGTAATAGGAACTGGAATTTAAAAATGTTATTAATTGTTGCTAATCACATAGATGGGCCACAAAACTAAAAGCTCAAGACACCAGCTATTAAAGCCAATGAAAGTGGCTGACAATATAGGAAAGGGTGTTGTCCAAGATCAGACTTGAGTGCTGCAGTTATAGCGAAAGACATTCAGTTGAGCAGGCACATGTTGCAAGCTACAACACAGTCCAAGAGGTTATGAAGGAATTAAAATGAGGATAATATACTAAAAGAAGCTGCTTCTCCATGCTGAAGACAAGCCTTTTCCCAATTTAAAAGAGAAGTTTAGCACAGACCAGGGATAAAACTTAGAATTTTCTTATTCTGTAACACTCCATGGTTAGCACCTAATTAATCACCAAGAACTGCCCTTACTACAAATATTTACCAAGAACAAAAACACAGTGAATTACCAGTACGATAGAAGTAACTGTGTATGTAATTAGATACACATATTACAGTGAATTTGTGTTTACGGCTGGAGAATCACCTCAATTAATCGAATGGCAGAGCTATGCTCTTTGCTCGCCCACTGCTGCAAACTCTAGTCCTTTGCCATTGATTCCATCCCTTCCCCATGCCCAACTTTCACCTGAAATAAACTGATCACAACCTCTGAGATAAGTCTCAGGTTCCATATCAGGTCTATCACTAAGAACATTTAATTTTATATCTCGGAACAAATTACTGCAGATGCTGGAATCTGTACTGAAAACAAAAAATGCTGGAGATCATGGTGGGTCAGGCAGCATCCATGGAGACAGAGCAAGTTAATGTTTCGAGTCTAGAGGACTCTTCCTACCTATACCAGACTAAGCCTATTGCAGCTGAAAGGCCATATATATCAGCACTCAGCTTCCAACCATTCCAACTCACTGCTTGATGGCCCCTTCAGTTCTCCACACTCATAAACTCCAACGTCTAAAAACCTGGTGCATATGTCCCAAGCTAAGTCCCACTGGGCTTCATATTGGCTTTCAGCAACCTATGTTGATTAGCCCCAGTTCCACAAATGTTAGCATTTTTCTAATTTTTATATCTCTCCATGGCTTCATCCACTCCTACATCAATAACCTATATACCTTCCCAACCTCTACACACCTCCGACTTCTTTTACCATACCTGCTCCCAATGATCCAACCCTGGCAGCAGGGCAGTCTCATTTCCATTTAAGAAACTCTTTTCTTAAACCCCTGATCCTCTCTCTACATCCCATTCGCCACCCTCCCACCTTAAAAACGTTTAGTCACCCACTTGAATATTTCAACATTTCAAGCTACAAGGTATTTTTAGTCAACGTAGAAATGTGCGATAGCATAGATAATGGCAAAGTATTATAAAATATTAATATGACTAAATCATATAGTGAATTCAAAGAATACATTAAATTTAATGCAGAATCATCAGATATTCAGCAGCTGTAAACTAAACTGTCACATATCAAATATATTATGAACATAGAAACAAGAGTAAGCCATTTCAGTTCCTTAAGTTTGTTCCATCATTAAATAAGATCATGGCTGATGTATAATCTAACTGTTACACATCTTCGCTTCAAATTTTCTAATATATTTGATTAATAAAAATATATCAGTCTCTGATTAAAGCTAACAGCCGAACCAAAATACAGTTTGAAACTGCTACCACCTTTTGTGTACAGAAGTATTTGTGAATTCCACTCTGAAAAGTCTGACTCTAACTTTAAAACCCTGTCCTCTAGCTGTAGACTTTCCAACAGGTGGAAATAGTTAGTATTTACCCTTCCTTTTCTTGAGGACTTCAGTCAATCCAAACTTTAACATTGTAAATGGTAATGAATGTAACCTCATCTGTGTAATCTCTTTGTAATTTAGTCCAGCTTGCTATCATTCCAATGTATCTATGTTGCACAGCCTCTGAGACCAACATATCAGTCCTTCAATGTGGTGTCCAGAACTGCTGACAGTACTCCAGGTGTGGTTCAACCAGCACCTCTATCAAGGCCCCAGCTTGACTTCTACATCCTTGGGTTCTAGTCTTCCAGTCTCCAAAAACCTGCATCTGTTAACATTTTTGATTACTTTCTGTACCAGTTTGTGACACTCTAATGATCTTCATGCAAAGTCCTCCATATCAATATTTTAAAAGTTAAAGTCTTATCTTCATATAGCAACTTTCACAACCTTAGGGTGGTTCAAGATACTTTTTTAAAAAAGTTTCACTATTACAATAGGAAATATAGCAGCCAATTTACAAACAGCAAGACCCACTAACAGCAAAAGCAGATGATCTGTTTTTTAATGACGTTGGTTGAGAATATTGGCCATCACACCAAGGAGAAATCCACTGCCGTTCTCTGAAACAGGCCTGTGCAATCTTTTAAACGCTTTGAGTGGTGGACAAGGCATGAGCCTAAAATCTCATCCAACAGGCCACACCTCTGACAATGCAACACACCTTGGAGGTAGGGTACACTAGACTAGATTTTATGTTCAAATCTCTGGAGTGGAACCTACACCAACAATCTTTGGACTCAGACATGAGAGTTTTGCACTCTAATTCACTGAACTCACCACGCATTGCGTCACACCACCCACCTCAAGCATGTACAAATTGTCACGTATAGGGTTGCAAACAGGTCCATTTTTCAGGCAGTTCTTTTTGGGGGGGGATCTATGGCAGCTGCTGTGCTGTAACAATCTCCGAATCCCCAACATAACGCTGTTGAGAGGGCACAGAATGATTGCAGTTGTCTATCCCTTGCACAACATTCCTCGGCTGGAATGAAATGTTAGCACACTCTATGCAGTAGAGACCCCTTCTCTACCTTCAACCTAAACACCCCCATGCACCCTACACCGCCAATCCACGCCCTTCTCCAAAACTGCACGCGTCAAAATCTGAAAACTATATCCTGATCCTACAGCTGCTGTTTTCTCAAAACAAGTTGCTGCATCCTTTCCTAATGAGGAGAGTCATAAAAATGTCAAACACTTGACAAAGAGCTCTTAATCGGCTCCGACTCGCCCTCGGAGGCATTTTAGAAACAAAAAAGCAGATTTATGTTTTTTTTCCCCCTTTTACTGTGTGGAATTCCGTCCACAGTCACTACTTGGAAGGGTCCCCTTACTCTTTCATTTCTTCCTTTGCTTCCTAGATTTTCCTTAACAACTTTTTTCCCCTCTGTTAGCTGTCACAAGCACTATCGCTGTTGATAGGAAGAAAATGCCAGGACATATCCCGCTTCCCTTGCCAACCGTTTATTTTTAAACTCAAAAACTGTTTAAGACATCGCGTTGAATTTTAAACTCGTGGGGTCCAGGCAGCACAGCAGTAGAACGCGTGTCCATTTCTAAAAAAATAAGAAAGCTACTGAGGATTTCAGAAAAAAGAGCATAAAAAGGCTCACAGTGCTAAGAGAACACTGGACTGAATTAAAAAGGGTTTCTGAAGTGCGCTGAGGCAGAAGGATTCAAAATAGTTGGGGGGTGGAAGAGGAGAGAGAGGGGCCTTGTTCAGTGTCAGTAAGAAACTTGTGTATCCTACAGAAGGTAAGCGTTCTGACAGCACTTGTTTTGAAGTTTAGAGGATGGGGTTGTTTTTTGTGGGGTAGGGGTGTGCCTTCATAAAAGCAACTGAGTTCCGAGGTGCCTCTTTGGAAATCATACCCACGGAATAGGCAGCTTGCCAGACAAGCCTTCTGTGGTGTGACCGCAGTGCATTCAGGCTTTAATGAAATCCAGGCAGCACACATTACATGGTGTATCAGCCGAGAGCCAGCCTCCCTACAGTAATCACGACTGATATATATTTTAAGAAAAACACACACACAAACACAAAGCACAGAGTCAGCGGGTCAGAGAGAGAGAGAAACAGAAGTGGTTCAACTGTGATGCACGGTGCATTTTTTTTTATTTTTTAAGGAAATACAATCTAGGTCAATCCGCGTTCTCTGAATGCATTAACAGTTTGTAAACTTTCTCTCCACCACCACCTCCCCCCCCAACACATCCACCTCTCGTTGACATCGGCTCAGTGGCCAGAATGAGAATGGGATCGCACTGCCCTGTTTGCTTGCTGCTGTACGATCCTGCGATCGTCCTGTAACGAGCTTCGGAGGAAAAACATGGACTTTCCCCAGCGAGGGACTCATGCAGACAAGAGGCTGACGGGGCTGCGAGCAAACCTGCCTGGAAAAGTCATCCAGAGCTGCACTGCTCACTGCTGAAACCGGATTCTTATCAACAGCACCTTTTTTTGGGGGGGTGGTGGGGGGTGAAGAGGCAGCTTTGCACCCCCGAATTTCTTCTCAGCGCCAAAGCCAAAGAAGGGTAAGTGTTTCTGGACTATCCTCACTCTCGTTAAACGTAAAACTTGAAACTAACTGCATTTTATCTTGCTTGACCCGAGTGTTTCTATGGCAACCGCTGGAGTCTAGTTCTTATCCACCTGCTTTAAAACAACTTCTTATTAAACAGTCCCTTTACCAGTTCTCAGTAATGCATGTTAACGAGGTCCAACTGGGCTTGAATCATGTACATTTTCTGGACACACACCTATAAACTGAGTCGATGATGATAACGCGAGCGTGTTATAGTTAGTGACTTTCCCTTAGAAGGCACTGTGCTGGAAGTTTGCAATTTACATCTCCATTTCAGACCCACTAACATCAGTAAACCGCAGGGCAGCATGCACTCGATATTCATCACCTACTGCTCCCCAAACAACGATAAATCGCAGGCACTGACAGCTCCCCTGCAGCTGTTGGTGAGAAATAGATAGCAATATAAAAAATGGCTGTCACTTCCTATCTACAAACTCATTCAAACTTTTCAGAGGGGACAGAATATATTGTGATCAATCAAGTGTTCCGCTAACGCGCAGGTTCTTTAAGACGAGGGAAGGTAGGACGGGAGAATGGGTGGGACTGGTTTGGGATCAGGTCTTAAGGACTGGAAGTTGGCAAAATGACGCCTTAGTGATCTTTTTCACAGTGGGAGCTATCACCAATTCCCAGCTGGCCCAGCAGATGGTGATATGTGTGGCAGTTCCAGAACCAGGGTCACAGTCTGAGAATGTGGGGTAAACCATTTAGGACTGAGGTGAGGAGAAATTTCTTCGCCTGGAGAGTGGTCAGCCTATGGAACTCACTACCACATAACGTAGTTGAGGCCAAAAACATTGTATGATTTCAAAGAGTCAATAATAACACCTGGGCCTAAAGAGATCAAAGAATGTGGGGGGCAAAGCAGGAACAGGCTGTTGAGCTGGATAATCAGCCATGATCATAATGAATGGTAAGAAAGGCTTGAAGGAGGGCCACATGGCTTTCTGCTGGTATTTTCCAGGTTTCTATGACCCAGATCTTGCTTAAGTGGGAAATCATACAGTGTACACTGCTGAGTCAGACTTGTTCCCTACAGACTTGTCTGTAGGCGAACACTGGGGCAAGTGAACATAATTCTATAAGTTTTAAAGTAGTTATGGAAAATGATAGAACTGATCAAAAAATGAATGGTCTAAATTGGAGTAAGGCCAATTTTGAAGGTATTAGACTGGAACTTTCAAAACTTGATTGGGGGAGGCTATAAACAGGTAAAGGGATGGTTGAGAAGTGGGAGGCCTTTTGAATGAGATAACGAAAGTTCAGAGCAGTTTATTCCTATTAATGTGAAGAGCAAGGCTGGTAGATGTAAGGAATGCTGGACTCTATACAGGAATGAGATTTCAACATTCTTTTTCTTTCTGAGCCAGAGCTTGAATGGCACTCTAGGAACATAAATCACCTCATTAATAACGTTCTTACACTGCTAAGTGCTAGCCTTAACTTTCTGCAGCAAGTTCAGTGGGAAATTAGCCCACAAATGTAGCAATTTCACAAAATTAACAGTAGTTTGACATTAAGCACCCACCTTGTAATAATAAATCATTCAGCAAATTGTGGTGATTTACAATTCGTGGACAATCCCTTCCTTGCTACAAACTGCTGGACAATTTACACATTAATAACCTTTTGGATAATTAAACTCGCCATCAGTTTGGCAGCAAAGTCTGAGTCAAAATTCAAAAGGTGTATTTGTCCTCTTGAGTACCAGCTACAGACATGGGCTCAGGTTTGAATTGTACATGGTGACATAGCGACTGTTAGGTTTTTCTTGGGATCAGCAAATACAGCCCAGGTATCATTGTCTCTTCTAATGAAAGGAATATTCACTTACCATAACATTGGAAGAATTATTTATGCTATTAAGACAGCCTGAAAAGGATTCATCTGCTGGAAACACAAAAGCCTATCAACAGAACAGGAAAACATTGGTCCAACACTGGAGCTTTGCACTAACACAGTTCACAAATCAGGGTACCACTTTTAATCATCAGCTCTGGCTTGTCACAGAAAAATGAATGGAATTGCAGACTGAATCTCAAATCATTGCTAACAATCGCAGAACTAGTTTATTAAAGGAAATAGACTTGTGTAGCAATCCTAATTAAGCAATGCAATCTTCCCAAAAACTTTGAAATTCCATGCAGCAAAATTGAATATATTTGAGTTACAACAGGGCATAAATGTTCAAGTATTGGCATGTGAGAGGCCAGCAAAGACTCACTGTTGTCCCTTCCTTATTCATTTGAGATAATGATGAGCCTTCTTCAGCACTGTTTTTATGTAACTGGATAATATGCTGGGATATTACTAGAAAGTATTAAAAGTTATCAGCAGAGCTTAGGGTCAGCAACATTGTTTGATGCATTCCTGGAATCTTGCTCACATGCCGTCCATCTTCCAACCACACCACCCAGTCAACTAGCCCTTTTAATATTCCCCAATCACCAATTTTGCACATGATAATAAACCATACCTCACAGTATGCCTCAGGCAACTGTTTGTGTGGAGTGTGCACATTCTTCCCGTGTCTGCATGCGTATCCTCTGGGTGTTCCGGTTCCCTCCCACAGTCCAAAGATGTGTTGGGAAGGTGGAGTGGCCATGCTAAATTGCCCAATGTCCAGGGATGTGCAGGTTGGACGGGTTAGCCAAGGGAAATGCAAGGTTACAAGGATAGGGTTGGGGGCTGGGTCTGGGTGACATGCTGTTCGGAGAATGACTGTGGTCTCGATGGACCTGTTTCCACACTGTAGGAATTCCATGATTCTAAGATATGATCTCTGAAAATTGGAAAAGAAAACAAGCTTTTTGTTTTCAGAAATGTTCTTGTGATTTACCCCCCATTTCTCACCCAGAGCTGTTACCAGTAGAGTCCAGGAGATTAATCTGTCATTCCGAGAACCTCCAGGACAATTTTGGAGGGGTGGCAATCCTACATGGAGAGGCATTAGAATCATGCAGAGGTTAGATTGGCTAGAGGTGTTTGTGAGCCAGGTGCAGATTTGTATTTAGAGTGTACCTTTTCTTATTTAATTAATTCAATCTCAAAATTGCCATATTAGGTTTGAATTCCTGGCCTCTGGTTTGCTAGTGCTGTTACATAAAACCAGTGGACAACTGAATCCTTTCAAAAAACACAGTAAGACTAATAGGATGCTTATCTTTTTAGACACCTTGATTGCTTCGTAAAATATTAACATGCTATAAGCCTGGACTAGCAATCTAAAAAGAACACCAGCCTCAGAATCAGAAATAACAATCGTAGTCAGTGGAGCAGATGAATCTAATTTGGCACAATTCATCTCAAAAGCTTTGTGAATTCCTCTGAGCTACTCCCAAATACAGAGACAGAATGCATTATAAGCTTTTGCACTGGTATCTCAGCAGCAAGTTAGAATACACCAGATGCTCTTAACTGCGAACTGTCACTATAGCCTACAGGAAATGGTTACAGCACGCCTGCTGATCACTGCAATGATGCTAACAGCAAAGTTTTACAAATGTACTTTTGACCTACTTCAGCTTGTCATTTACAGTCTTTGCTTTGACTTTACAAATTACATAGGAATTTAACTTGGGTTGCCAGCAAGAAAGATTTGAATTTACAACTCCAGGACATCCCAAAGTGCTTTACCGTGAATGAAGTAATTATGATTTGTAATCCCTTTTGTAATGTGGGGAATATGGCTATGTACAAACAGCAACATTACTAAAAACAAGTCATCAGGACATTGTCACAATGGGTATTGGCTGGGAATTACCAGCTGATTGGGATTACAAGGAGAATATTGCAGATGTTGGAAATCTGAAATAAACACAGAAAATTCTGGAAAAACTCAGCAGGTCTGGCAGCATCTGTGGAGTAAGAGTTTTCGCTTTGAGTCCAGAATGACTCTTCTTCAGAATAAAAAGTCATGTTGGACTCAAAACATTGACAGTTTCTTTCCACAGATACTGCCAGACCTGTTGAGTTCCTCCATCTATTGCTGTTTTCGTTCTAGCATCCACCATTCTTTGTTTTATTCTATTGTTCTAAGTTGCTCAAACTCTTTTCACAAGCTCCTAGACTATGTAATGACACTAGATCCGAATCTTTCTCCCTTGACCCTTCCCACTCAGCAAGATAAAGCATAGTATTCCATCAAAGGTCAGCCTTCCATGCTTGGCTCAAAAACAGAAATAGCTGGAGAAATTCAGCAGGTCTGGCAGCATCTGTGGAGGGAAAGCAAAGTTAGTGTTTCAGGTCCAGTGACCTCTCTTCAAAACTGACTGTAGCTAGAAGGTTGGTATATATTGCTGAAGATGGGGTGAGTAGCATGGGGAGGAGTAAATGAGAGGTGGAGGTGGAGTCCAGAGAGAGTACAGAAGTTGGGCAGACAAAGCAGTGGGCAAGTGTCAGCCTGGGAGAATCCATAGCTGTGAATTGGAACCATTAGTGGCTGCCAAGGAGTTGGTTGTGGTGGAAGCCCATGTGATGACAAAGTCTGATGTGCAAGGGTTTCATTACTTTTCATTACAATTGAAATGAAGAGTTCACATAGAAGTGAAGACTCTCATTCCAACACTGATGGATTATGAGAGTTAATCTTGGGCAACATCCTGTTTTAGACCACAAGAAATAGGAACCGGAGTAGGTCATTTGGTCCTTCAAGCGTGCTCCGCCATTTCAATTGGATCATGGTTGATCCAGTATTAAACATGTTCACTTTCTTATGTCTTCCTTGTAACCCTCAAGTTCCCTACTCATCAAGAATCTATCCATCTCAACCTTAAATATACATATGGAATTATGGGATGCTATCCTTGAGAGGGTGGCATTTTAACAAAAATATTGGTGTAGTGGATTTAGATTGGTTTACAGAAACAAGATGTATTGTGTATCTGCCCTCTCAGGTGGTCGTGAAAGCTCCAGTTACAATATCTTGAAGAGCAAGGGCATTCGTCC